GTAGCAATGTCTGAACAGCATTTAGGAGTCAACATACAGGTGGTGCTGTGTGCGGCGAAAGGGGCTTTTTTAAAACGGGGGGGGGGAAGTTTACCCCAAGACTTATTTCATCCTGTTGCACGATGAGCATTACTAGGGGGTTCTGGTTGTGAAAAAGTTGTTTGGAGCAAAAAATTACGGTGAGTTTTGCCCCACGGTGCACAGTCACGGCCACTCTTGCAGGTCCAGCTGCTGCCTCTGCTTGAGCATAACATGCTCAGACAGCGTGGACGTGCAGCTGAGGTCTCCTCGCTGTAGACTGTATTGTCAGTCCAGAGAGCGTTTAGACAGACACATCGACTGGGCGTCGACAGAACAAGTTGAATGCCTGTCTAAAACGTTGTGCGATAAGGGTCAGTCTTACGTGGACAAGCGGCACAGGTGTAAAGGGAGGCGCTATAAGCGGGGTCAGGCTTTGATCGCTGGTGATGTAGACGGTCACCTCGGTTTTATGGACAGCCTTAGAAAGCCCGAATCCTCAGAAAAGTGTATTTGTTATGATTCTGAATACACATAGGAGACTGGGTTGCACACTCCCAATTACATTTTTGCTATGTCCCTCAAGCCGGAAAAGTCCTGGGAATTTAAGGGTGATGAGTGTCTTTCTGTGTTTGTTCAGACCTTTATTGGCAAAGAGTTCCGGGTCTACACGTTCCAGGCGCACAATTCCAAAGGTTACGATGCATACTTCATCATTAGACAGTTACTGAAGGAAAAGATGTGCCTAGAACTGATCACTCAGGGTAGTAAAGTAATGTGTGTGGAAGGTAAGGTCCTGGGCATTCGTTTTATAGACTCTTTAAACTTCTTGCCCATGAAGCTTGGTAAGCTCCCGCAGGTGATGGGGTTTGAAGGGTGCAAAGGGTATTTTCCACATTTTTTGAACACTTTAGAAAATCAAAATGACGTGGGGCCTATGCCCGGTGTGGAGCACTATGGTGTAGAAAGCATGATGCCCAGGGAAAAAGCAGAGTTTCTCGACTGGTAGCAGGCCCACAGGTAGGAGACGTTTGACTTGCAGAAAGAGCTCGTGTATTACTGTCAGCAGGATGTCAAAATTTTGAGACAGCCTTGTATCCTCTACAGAAAAGAGATTATGAAAAAGATGGAGAAGGGAGATCTAGTAGAGAGAGAACCTGGTAAATTCACCGAGATAAAACTGTGTATAGATCCATTCTGGTACATAACACTGGCATCTGTCTGCATGGCTATGTACAGGTTTATGTTTTTGGAGCCTAACACGGTAGCTCTTCTCCCTCCAGACAATGATCACAGGCAGGAAAAAGATATTCGACCCCATCTGTTCAGTGGCTGTTGTATACCTCTCACAAAGAAACTATACAAATACGGCATGCTTTACAGGGTGGGGAACTACAGGTAGGCTCCTACTCTTTAGACGGTTATGCCAGTGTTGACAGGGTACACACAGCCTTAGAGTTTAACGGGTGTTCTTTTCCACGCTTGTGCCACCTGTCATTGTGAAAAAGCACAAAACCCTATGACGGGGACAACTTTTGGGTTTCTTTATTACAAGACGCAGCTCAAGACCGACTATCTGAAACAACTTGGTTTTGTAGTGAGGACTCTTTGGGAGCAAGAGTGGGAAGTGATGAAAGAAAGAGACAGGGAGCTTGCAGGTTTTTTAAACTGAGCCCAGTTGCCCTAGCCTCTCGTGCCTAGGGATGCTCTTTTTGGGGGAAGGACAAACGCTATGCACCTGTATTACAAACTTAACTCCAGGGAAGAAATCCACTATTATGATTTTACCAGCTTCTACCCTTTTGTAAAGAAAACCAAAGAATACCCTCTCGAACACTCCGATATAGTTTATGACAAATTTGGACCCCTTGCAAATTATTTTGGAATTGCAAAAGTTAAAGTGTACCCCACACAAGGCTTCTTTTTCCCATTGTTACCTGTCAGAGTGGGTGGCAAGCTTATGTTCCCGCTACGCCGAACCTGTGCGGAAACCGAGCAGCGGGAGATGTGCATCCATACTGACGAGGAGAGGGCCATCCTGGGGACTTGGTGCACGGTGGAATTGAACGCGGCCATAGCGAAGGGGTACGCGGTGGCAAAAATATATGAAATCTGGCTTTTTAATGAAAAATCTGATGTACTCTGAAAAGACTTCATCAAATGACACCTCCACCGGAAACAAGAGGCTTCAGGGTACCCCAGCTGGTGCACAGACAAAGAAAAACAAAATAAGTACATGAACGATTTCTACCAGAAAGAAGGCGTGCGTTTGTGCCAACACGAGATCAGGTTTAACCCCGCTAAATGCCAAATCGCTAAACTCTTTCTAAATTCCCTCACGAGTGAGATCCCGCCAGATCAACACATCACCGAGTTTGTGTCGGCAGGCCCGAAAACATACGGGTATAAGCTGTCGGGAGGAAAAGCCTGTATGAAAGTCAAAGGTATTACCCTGAACTTGGCAAACTGTCAATAGATCAACTTTGACAGTTTGAAAGATCTAGTCCTGGACTATTGCACGGGCCTGCGAGAAAACACCTCAAAAAAGAGAGAGGGTGCAGCAGCCCTCTATCATAAGGAACAAAAATCAGTGGTAAATAGAGACCAAAACCCTTAAGAAAACACAGAAAGTCATTTACAACAAGAGGGTCCTAGGAGAAGGGTTTAAAACCCTGCCCTACGGATTTTAAAATGGATACGAGGTGGAAACACCCCTTTTCTGCAATTCTCGCGGGGCCTAGCAACTGTGGGAAAAGTTACTTTATAAAAAATGTGTTGGATAATGCCAAACAAAACATTGTCTGTTATGCCTGAGAATATTGGATAACCTGGCTATAAAAAGCATTGCAAGATACACATGTCTGGGCTTGTTGAAACACATTTTGAGCAAGGCTAGGCATGCCCAAGAATTTAAATGTATTTTTTACAAAATTCATCACCATCCGGTCGTTTTGCACTAAGTCGTTAGAATACAATTTTAAAATCCGGTCAAAAGATAAACACTTGCTCCGATGATGTAAGAAAAACACTCGGTGATAGCCCCCCCCAAAAAAAGGACCCCCCACCCCAATATCAAATTCCATCTCATCCCTCACCCATCACTATTTTTTATCCTTTCTTTTTTTTTTTCTATTTTATATTTTTTTAAATATAAAAAAAAAAAAAAAAAAAATAAAAAAAAAAAAAAAAAAAAAAAATAAATTATAAATTAATTTTTGTGGGTAGAAGGAAAAGGAAGGAAGAAACAAACTTTTTGTTTTTTCTATTTTTTGTCCTCTCCCACCCACAAGGCCCGCACGCCCGTGTTTAGATAGCACCCCTCCCCCACCGACCAAGAGAAAAAAGAGGGAAAAAAGATGATTTTTTTTTTTTTTTATTTTATTTTGTGTGGAGAGGCACCCCCCCACCCCCCCCCCCCCCCCCCACCCCCTCTCGACAACAACACACCCAGACCAGAAAGAAGAATCCAATAATCTATTCTCCCACCCCCACCCCTGCCTCCGCTAGGCAGAACAAGCGCCAACACCCACCCCCACTCTGGAAGAAACAACAGGGGGGGGAAAGCATTCTTTTTTTTGGGGTGTGGGTAATTAGTTTTTTTTTGGGGGACCCACCTAATATAAAAATCCTTAAAAATGTGGCGGCCAGAAGAAGAAGGAAGTGTTGTGGTGGGTGACCCCGGGGAACAAAAATTTTAAAAATGGGGATTAAACAATAATTATTATTATTATTATAAAAAAAAAGGGGGGATCATCTTATTCAACCCACCATTTTTTGGGGGGGGGGGGGGGGGGGGGGGCCCCGGGGGGGGGGGCTGGGGAGGGGAAATCAGGGCACAGCAGAGTGAGGGAGGTCGGCCCCTGGAGTGAGGGGCTGGGGAAATCGGGGCGGGAGGCAGACAGGTTACCCCCTGCCCCCCCCGGACGGCACTGGTATCTACTTTGGCGACCAATCCAGGAGCCAATCAGTTCTGTCTGTCAGGCCTGGAGGGTCCGGAAGAGCAGCAGCTGCTGAGCGGAGCCGCTTCTCCAGCAACAGCTGCTGCTCTTCCTGCTCCCCGGTGGCAGAGGCGGGTTACTGCACGTAACTGGACTTTTAGTGTCCGGTCAGCTGTGCTGACTGGACGCTGCTAGTTTCCCTTTTCGACCAGACGTTCTAGTCAAAAACTGGAGACCTGGCAACCCTACCCACTAGTCCCTGAGCTCCCCACATCCCTGGGGTGCCCCCAGGGGTGAAAGTAAGTTAGAGGACTTACCGGTACGCCAGAGTCCGGAGCAGGGGCGTGGCCTCAACTGGAAGAGGCAGGGCCTTAACTCCCCAGGCCAGGGCTCCAGCTGCGGTAGTGGCGGCTGGGAGCCCGGGGCCCTTTAAATCACACCCGAGCTACCAGCTGCAGAGGTGGCTGGGAGGCTCGGGAGCGATTTAAAGGGCCCAGGGCTCCAGCTGCCGCTACCGCAGCTGAGCCCTGGGCCTTTTAAATCACTGAGGAGCCCTGGGGGCTCCCGGCTGTCACCGCTACCCCCGGGCTCTGCACTCTGGCAGAGCTTTAAAGGGCCTGGGGCTTCGCTGTGGTAGCAGCTGCCAGAGCCCCGAGCCCTTTAAATCCCCACCTGAGCCCAGCTGCCCGAGCCCTGGGGTAGCGGTGGCTGGGCTCTATTGGGGATTTAAAGGGCCCCGGGGCTCCAGCCGCCACTACTGCCCCGGCCCTTTAAATCCCCACCTGAACCCAGCTGCCCGAGCCCTGGGGTAGCGGTGGCCAGGCTCCATTGGGGATTTAAAGGGCCCCGGGGCTCCAGCCACCACTACTGCCCCGGCCCTTTAAATGCCCGCCGGAGCCCCACCGCCGCTACCCCAGGGCTTCGGCAGCAGGGCTCCGGCGGGGATTTAAAGGGCTGGGGCAGTAGCAGTGACTGGAGCTCCGGGGCTCTTTAAATCCCCGCCAGAGCCCCCCCACCCCTACCCCAGGGCTCGGCAGCAGGGTTCAGGCGGGGATTTAAAGGGCTTGGGGCTCTAGCCACCGCTACCGCCCCGGCCCTTTAAATCCCCTCCGGAGCCCCGCCGCTGCTACCCCAGGGCTTCGGCAGCAGGGCTCAGGCGGGGATTTAAAGGGCCCCGGGGCAGTAGCGGCGGCTGGAGCTGTGTAAATTTTAGCCCTAGTTAGCAGGGGAGGAAAATTTGCATTAAACCAGGAAGTTGGTCACATCCTTTACTATAGAGAAATGACCAGATCTATACCATGTTGATGGGATTGACTGGCAGGTTCTAAAATTTGACTTCTTGTGCAGTAAGGATTCTGCCCCCTTTCCCCATAAATGCTGATAATGGATTAATATAGTTCAGGGGGCTAGCTGGGTTTTCCACCCAATAAATTGCCACATTGTGAAAGAGTCTGTTTTGTCTAATAGTTAGAGCAGGGGCTGGAATTCAGGGCACTTAGGATCTTTTCCCAGCTCTGGGAGTTGAATGGGGTCTAGGGATTAGAGTCAGGGGGGTTGAGAGTCAGGATTCCTGGGTTCTATCCCTGGCTCTTGGCGGGGAGGATGGTTTAGTGGTTAGAGCAGTAGTGGTCAGGACTCCTGTTTCCAGCCATGTGAAATACTGTGGTGTAATAAGAGCCGGGGACTGGGAGTCAGGACTCCTGGGTACTAATCCAGTCTCTTCCACTGATTCACTGCTGTGACCTGGGTAAGTCCCTGTGCTTCAGTTTCGCCAGCTATAAAGTTGGGGTGATAGTACCTTGCTCCCAAGAGTGGAAGAGGTGAGATCTGTGAGGTTTAATGCACTGAAGTTTGTAAAGAGCTGGCAGACCTTGCATGGAAGGGGCAGAGGGCAGCGGGGTGGCTCTGTGGTTATTAAGATGCACTGGCTGTGTTGTGTTCCTCCTGGCCACTGTTTAACAAATCCACTTCTTTTCACAGATCCAGCCATCCCCATTCATCGTACACGCAGCGTCGTTCCACTTCCCATCTTTGAGCATCATCACACAGTCCTCACCACTGCCAAAATTGTTGGGCTCCCCTCGATCCCAGTTGCTGGGGATCAAAGAGAGTAGCAAACTCAGCTAGGCATTCGAGGGAAGCCCTGGTGAAATGCACTCCCTGAAATCCCACTTAAGCCCCCAGAGAGGGTGATCCGGCCTCACCCTCTGGAAAGTGGTTTGAGGCTGACTGTTACAGAGCACTGGATAAGAGCCAAGTGTAATGATATAGGGCCTGACTGACCTCTGTTACTCCAGTTTTAAACTGGTCTAGCTATTAACTTCAATGGAATTTACACTGGTGTAAACCTGGGGTAATACAGTGGTGGATCAGGGCCATACTGTTACAGTGAGAGTTACCCACAGTCTTACAAGTGCTTTTCCTGAGTAGCTGAGCACTGACCAGGCTTGGAGGACACCCTGCATGGTTAGTGCTGTGATCCACGTTCTCTTTGGTCAGTCCTCACTTCCAGCCTGACTCTCTACGTGGAGTTAATTCTCAGGATAGAGTCACTTCCTGGGAACACTGGGCTATTTGGGATGAGGTTTATGCAAGAGGGGACTGACCTGGGTGCTGTTGGTGATACCTCTGCCCCAGGTCTAGTGTAAATAAACAAGTTACACTAAGAAGGAGCCAGATTCCACCAATTTCTTCTCAAAGGGGAAACTGCCCCGTAAGACCCTGAAAACTGCTACTGCTCAGCTGAAGGTGACAATTTAAAGCTGAGCATCATCCACCACTTTGTTCTCTACCGCACTAGCTCTGGTTCCCTGTGGGGAAACCCTGGACAGTTTAAAGAGCAGAGCAGATGGAAGATGAATCAAGAAAGGGCAGCTCCACCCACTCAGCCAATGACTCAATGTGTTTGAAACGTACTGATTGGCCAGTTGCACCAGAGCCAACCCCCCACCCTGCCCTCATGTACCAGTGAGCGGGATTGGGCTGACCTGTATGACACAGAACTGTCGTCGACCCATATAAATGTCCCTTCATTGCTAACGTCGTGCAGGCCAATCCAGTACTGCTTGCCGTTAGTGTTCTTTGTCAAAAACTCCTGAAAAAAGAAAATGATTGATTGCAATAAAATATGGCCCAAATCTAAGGCACCACCCCAATCCCACCTCACACAGCCCGTACTCCTCTCTGGCTCTCTGTTGTTCTCCTTGTGCCAAGATGTGGCCCATTGGGTTAGGCAGCGACTGAGATCGAGGCCCCATTGTGCCAGGTGCTTCACAGACACCTAGTGAAAGACGCTCCCTGCCCCAAAGAGCTTACGATCCAACAGACAAAACCAAGGGTGAGAGGGGAAACTAAGGCATGGTGATTTGTGCCAGGTCACACAGAAGGTCAGTGGCAGAGCAGCGAGTAGGACCCAGCTGTCCTGGCTCCCAGGCTTGTCCTGCACCACTAGACCAGGCTGGCTCCCCTCCCAAAGGACCTGCTGAGGGAGCTGCGGCTCTGGATGGATGTGGAAGCACCATGTGGACATGGAGGCTAGGCAGGAAACATCAGGGAGCTCCCAAGTGACCACGATCTCATGGATCCCAGTCCTCCACCAGACGCTGTGTCTCCAAACCCTTTCCCCATCACTCCTTACAATCAGGGGTCTCTCTCTGATTCCCGCAAAGGTTCCCTTCCCAGGGAGCTTCCCTGGAGCTGTCAGGCTGACTTGCCTGAGGGTCCCCAGCAGCCTGACTGGCGCTTGGGATGAATTGTGCAGTGACTCTTGGGAGTTGGGGGAGTGCTTGAAGTCTGTGTTCTGGGAAGTGGTTTGCTACTCGATCCTGTGCCAATAGATGGTGCTCAAGTATATGTAGCATGGTCCCTGGGTTTTGTAGGGCCAAGACAATTTCTTGTGCACTGCAAATGGCTACCTAAGAGTGGCCATACTGGGTCAAGCCAATGGCCCATCTAGCCCAGTGTCCTGTCTTGCGACAGTGGCCAGGGCCAGGTGCTTCAGAGGACATGAACAGAACAGGGCAATTATTGAGTAATCTATCCCTTTGTTGCCGGCACCCAGTGCCGAGAGGCTGAACAACAGCTTGAGTGGTTCGTTACCCGGTGTGCTACACCCAATAATCACAACGGGGTGGAGAAGCAGAAAAGTTTATTTGCAGCTGCAAAAAGGTACAGGGAGAATAAAATCTCAAATCCTGCACAACAGAGCAGGAAGTTACACAGGCTTTTATACATCCTTTTTTCCAGCATACTTGTCCAATAGCAAGCTGCCCCAAGTATCCATATAGCCAGCCAATCTAGTTCCCTGATTCTTTGTATCATTTGTTAAACTATACATAAAGCTGCTTTATTTAGCATTGTTCTTCCATATCTGCCCTGTTTGGCCTTGTTTAGTTTCAGGCAGTCTGACTCTGCAACATACTGTTGCAGATTCTCAGCATAACTGCTGTGTGTGCCTCCAGGCGGGGGGGGCCAAGGACACTTGGGCCTAGTACGCAGAGCTGCTGCGAGTGCCTTCAGGCAGGAGGGGGGGCCAAGGACACTTGGGCCTAGTGCGAGGGGGCTTCATCGACACTCGTGGTCTTCCATCCCCTCGAGTTACCTAGTGGCCATGCCCCAGTGTCCCCAACACCTTGTTATCCAATCCCAGCTTCTGGCAGTCAGAGGCTTAGGGACACCCAGAGCATGGGGTTACATCCCTGACCATCTTGGCTAATAGCCATTGATGGACCTCTCCTCCAGGAACTCATCTCATTCTTTTTTGACCCTAGTTATACTTTTGGCCTCCACAACATCCCCTGGCAGTGAGTTCCTCAGACTGACTGTGTGCTGTGTGAAGAAATACCTCCTTAGGTTTGGTTTAAACCTGCTGCCTATCAATTTCATCAGGTGACGCCTACTTCTTGTGTTCTGTGAAGGGTCAATAACACTTCTTTATTCACTGTCTCCGCACCCGTCCTGGTTTTATAGCCTCTGTCACAAAAGAGCCTTAGCCGTCTCTTTTCCAAGCTGAACAGTCCCACTCTTTTTAATTTCTCCTCATCTGGAAGCTGTTCCAACCCCCTGATCATTTTTGTTGCCCTTCTTGTGCACATCTTTACACCAGTGCATAATGTGTTTCCTAGGCACTGAGCAGAGAAACGTCAGCTACTATCCTGTCCCCAGGCATCTCTCTCATGCCAAGAGCCTCCCAATTGCTGGGAGATCATCTCCACGCCCTGTCCGAGCTGTGTAGCTTGACTCAGTGAGCCTGACTTACCTGCTTTTGTGGGTTATCAATAATAATCAGCTCGGCACCTTGGTCTTTGCAGGCCTGCTTGGCATAGGACCAGTGTTTACGCACTGTGGAGAAGTAGTAGCAGGTCCCTGAATTCAGCAGCCAGCCGGCTGGACAAATGCTGCAGGCAGAGTCTGCAATGCAAGACAGGCAGAGGTCACTCTCAGCGCTGGACTGCAACGGACAATAATAGCATCTGCCCAGTACCCTTTAGCCAATGACCTCAACGCGCCTAGCCAAGGTGGGGAAGCGTCACCCTTAATTTACAGAGGGGGGGAAACTGAGACAGACAGAGGTGCAGTAACTTGCTCAAGACCATTCCCAAGCTAGGAAGAGAACTCAGGAGTCCTGATTTCCGGCCTCACCTGCTCTAATCACTAGCCCAGTGGTTTTCAACCTTTTTTGTTTACAGCCCTTTAAAACATTTCTAATGGTGGTGCAGACCCCTTTGGAAATCTTAGACATAGTCTGCAGACCCCCAGGGGTCTGCGTATCACAGGTTGAAAGCCACTGCACTGGACAACATTGGCCTCAAGGAGCTGGGAATAGAAGCCAGGAGTCCCAGTGGCCAGCCCTCTGCTCTAACCACTAGACTTCATATACCTCTCAGAGATGGGAATAGAACCCAGATGTCCTGCATTCCAGTCCCCTGCTCTAACTATTAGACAAAACTGACTCCTTGACAACCTAGGGGAAATCCCAGTTAGCCCCCTGAACATTATCACTGCTTGTGGGGAAAAGGAGCAGGAATCCTAACTGCACGAGGTGCCATGGCCCAGGCCCCCATTTGCTGGGTGCCGTACATTATTTATTACATGTATTATGGCAGTGCTTAGATGCCGCAGTCATAGATCAGGCCCCGTTGTGTCAGGCATGGTACAAACACAGAACAGAAAGACGGTCCCTGCCGTGAAGAGCTGACAGTCTCAGCAAGTCGAGGCTGGCGTGTGTCTCACCGTTCCTTTTCTGGACAGCATCCAGAATCTTGTAGGCCTCAGCCCTGATGTTATCTCTGTCACTTTTCGCTTTGGCCAGACCCTCCGACACTGCAAACACAACACACTGTCACATGTAGGAATAGGGTTGTATCCCTTTAAACAGTCTGTGAGCCTCGAGTGGCGCTCACCATATTCTGTACTTCAGAAGCTGCCAGAGGTCAACTAGAGCAGCGGGTGTGTGCAGCTGGGCCTGGCACACCTGTGTGCAGGTCGTAAACACTGGGATTTGGGGCCTGGCTGTGACACTGAAGTGGGCCCCTATCCCAGCAGCAGGAGTCACAGAGCTTGTTACACGGTCAGTCTGATACAGTCATTAGGGACTGGCCGGAATCACCAGCTGAACCTGAACCTTTCACAAGGGTCAAAATCATTCATCTAAAACCAGGTCCCCGCCCCCAAACCTCAGCAGGAGCCCTGCCCTCGCCTCACACCCAGGCACACTGCCCTGCCCCACAATTCCCTACCTCTGGCTCCCCAGTTTATTACACCTGGGTCATCTTCTGCCCAGCCCTTTAATCTACCTGCCTCCCCTCAGCCACTAATAAGTCACCATCCCCATCTCCCTCCCCTCGGCCCTCCCCTGCTTCCAAAACACATATCCCCTCTCCTAGCGGTCCCAAGTGAACCTAGGGAGAAAGAAACAGCCAGATCCCCCCTCTGTAGCAGCCCAGCCCATGGGAATCCTTAAAGGCCAGAGACTCCTGCAGTGACCGGGAATGCACCTGGGGTGAGAATCCCTGGAACTGAAGAGTGAACTGGCTTCCCCAGTTCACCCCAGCTAGTCACACACAGTGAGCCTGGTACAAGAGGAGCCCTGAGTGCAGAGGCTCTGTGGGCACTGGCTGTGTCCCCGCCCCTCCGGTGGGTCACCCAGAGTAGGGCAGGGCCCTGGTTTCCAGCCTCGGTGACTTGATCCCAAATGCTGCTTGCGCGGGCTGGCCTGGTGGGGTAGGGTGGAATGGATCCCAAATCGCCATGGGAACCTGGCGCTGGGATTCTCCACCCCGCTCTCTTCTTTCTGCTGTTCTCCACCCCCTCCTCTGCCTGAGCCCTGCTCCCTGCCCCCCGCCCCGCCATGGGCACTCACCTTCCACTCTCAGCGTGGCCTGGTCCGACTGCAGCCTCTTCAGCTCCGTGGCCAGCTCCACCTCTGAGAGATAAACAGGGCTGATCACGTTCCTGGGAGGGGACCCAGGGCTCAGCAGGAACAAGGAGGTGGCCAGGGAATGGGGGACGTTGGGGGGAGCTTGGAAGGAGGAGGAGTGACGTGACTGGGGTGCAGGAGGTTCGTAGAGGTGATGCTGGGCTTTGCGTCTGTGAGGGCTTCAGTACGTACCAGTGCTGTGCATGGCGGACTGGTTGAAATGAAGTGTCTCCAGTTGCTTCGCTGTCTTGGAGCCTGGAAGAGACAGAGGCCGGTGAGCTGGGAACTACCCCTCTCTTCATCTCGTGGGGCAGGGCCGTGTTCCCTAGCAGAGCGGGTCTGTCAGGTACTGGGGTCTCCCGGGGCTGGTTTTCTTCCTGGGAAGAGGCGGCGCGGGTGGATTTCCTTTCGTCCCCTGGCCATGACGGTCCATGACTCAGGCTCCGAGATGGAGAGCGACTTGCCCCAGGCCAGGTAGTGAAGCAAGATTAGAACTCGGGGCTCCCTGACTTGTGTTCATTCACTCAGACCCCACCTCCAGCTACCAGCCCTGCCTGGGGACAGCATTAGTGAGTTTAGTTAGGGCCCATCCAGACTAGGGAAATTTGTACTAGTGTCACCGTGGACTGGTGCAAATCCCTAGTGCAGACACATGGCACAAGGCTTGCCCAGGTTACCAGGATTAGACCCATTGATGTGAGTCCTACTTTGCATTATCCCAGTGTGTGTCTACATTAGTGGTTTGCATCAGCATTTACCTATCAGGACATGGTCTGTAGACAAGGGGCAGGTTCTCCATCACCTGGAATTATAAAAAGATTGTCTTTCTCTTCCTAAAAGCTCCACTCCAGCTCGACTACCAGATATGGGCTGGATATAGGAATCGCTGGGTGGGATTCTGTGGCCTCTGCTATGCAGGAGGTCAGACTAGAGGCCCATAACAGTCCCTTTTGGCTGTAACATCTATGAGCAACGATGGTGCAAACGTCCCTAATGCAGACAGGAACCTAGCTGGATCATGGAGCAGGTCCTCAAAGAATCAATCCTGAAGCACTTACATGAGAGGAAAGTGATCAGGAACAGTCAGCATGGATTCACCAAGGGAAGGTCATGCCTGACTAATCTAATCGCCTTTTATGATGAGATTACTGGTTCTGTGGATGAAGGGAAAGCAGTGGATGTATTGTTTCTTGACTTTAGCAAAGCTTTTGACACAGTCTCCCACAGTATTCTTGTCAGCAAGTTAAGGAAGTATGGGCTGGATGAATGCACTATAAGGTGGGTAGAAAGTTGGCTAGATTGTCGGGCTCAATGGGTAGTGATCAATGGCTCCATGTCCAGTTGGCAGCCGGTGTCAAGTGGAGTGCCCCAAGGGTCGGTCCTGGGGCCGGTTTTGTTCAATATCTTCATAAATGATCTGGAGGATGGTGTGGATTGCACTCTCAGCAAATTTGCGGATGATACTAAACTGGGAGGAGTGGTAGATATGCTGGAGGGCAGGGATAGGATACAGAGGGACCTAGACAAATTGGAGGATTGGGCCAAAAGAAATCTGATGAGGTTCAATAAGGATAAGTTCAGGGTCCTGCACTTAGGATGGAAGAACCCAATGCACAGCTACAGACTAGGGACCGAATGGCTAGGCAGCAGTTCTGCGGAAAAGGACCTAGGGGTGACAGTAGACGAGAAGTTGGATATGAGTCAGCAGTGTGCCCTTGTTGCCAAGAAGGCCAATGGCATTTTGGGATGTATAAGTAGGGGCATAGCGAGCAGATCGAGGGACGTGATCGTCCCCCTCTACTCGACATTGGTGAGGCCTCATCTGGAGTACTGTGTCCAGTTTTGGGCCCCACACTACAAGAAGGATGTGGATAAATTGGAGAGAGTCCAGCGAAGGGCAACAAAAATTATTAGGGGTCTGGAACACATGACTTATGAGGAGAGGCTGAGGGAACTGGGATTGTTTAGTCTGCAGAAGCCCCTAACAGGAACAAACCCGACAGCACCTCCGATTTTGGCTTCTGCCAAAGGGGCAACATCAGTAATACAAATACACGGACACTCATAAGTAAACTGAATTGTTACCGTTGCCTCTCAGCACAGATTGACCAGTCCGCAACTGCTCCAGCTCCTTGGACATCTCCGAGTCTAGACAGAAGGACAGATGCCAGCTGTTGTTTATATGGTTTGGGGGGGAGGGGGGCTGAGTTTTCGATTTGGGTTCACAGCGTAGAGCGACATGCTGCATTTCTACTTTCCAACTTCCCCCTGTGGAGATAATCTCTGAGGGTGATATCCCCAAAGGGATTTTGGCATTGCAATGCTGAGCACCACAGTGCCTAGAAAATCCCAGGAACACCCACAAAGCCGAGTTACATGCCCAGGCTCCGATACAATGACTGGGGAGAGCAATGCATCTGAGTGCAATCCCCAAAACGCAGCACGCTAGGCGGGGAGCTGTGTAAGTAGCCAATGGGAGATACTGATGAGCCATCCCCGCCCTTTTCTCAGAGCTAGGCATGCTAATCCAGGCTGCAGGAATGGGAAGTATCTAGCTCTGCTAGTGATCCACAAACAAGAACTCCTCTCCTGGCTTAGGCACCTAAGTAGTGTCTTTTGGGAATGAGTTAGGTGCCTGCCTCGTTCTACACAAAATGCAGGGGAGGAGATGCTGCTGCCCACCTTATAATTTATAGCCCAATGGTCAGAACACTCACTTGGGATGTGGGCGACCCAGGTTCAAATCCTTCCTCCCTGGCAGAGGAGCAGAAAGGATTTGTATAGGGGTTTAGGTGGGAGACAAGCATCCAGATGCCTCGAGGGAGGCAGGAGTGCGCATGCCTAGAGGTGTCGAGTGAGTTTAGGTGCCTACAGTGCTCAGGGGGAGTTTTGTGGATTGCAGTAGGAGCCTTAGGTGCCTCACTGGCTTCAAGGATTTCACCCAGAGTCCCCTCTGAATGACCTCTGCCCTGGCGCAGTCTGGCCAACTCCAGAGGTTAAAAACCAATCACAAGATTGGCTGGCTGAAAAATAATAGACTTTACTTTTCTTTTCTTTGCCTCCTGGTTTCTGAGCCCTTACAGCGCTTTCCCAAGCTTTTCTCTGCAACTAGAATCCGTCTCAGTATTTTTAAATGGAAGCTCAGATTCTCACCTAATCACAAGACTCCTGGAGCTGGGGCTTTAATTCAAACACCACCTAGAGCTCACAACGCTGAGGCTGCTCTGTGTAACGACACCCACCAAGGCTCCTCAGCAGGACGTGAATCCCTGCCACAGCAAAGACCTTTTGAGCTACAGGAGCTACTCCCTCAGCTGGCAGGAGTAGTTAGGCTGTTATCCTGCGTGGAGCAGCTGCTAGAGGGCATCCCAACACACATTGTACTTACTTGTACCTGTGAATACATTCAAGAATCAAACACCAGCGTGTTCCTGCTCACAGTGTGGGCTCTGGGAAGGTGCCCCACTGCTGTGAATTGGAGGGCAGGTGGCCTGACTTAATGAGCCTTGTCTTACAATTAGCAGCACTATGGCACAATGAAACGCATTGCGGGGGCCTATATCCCTTCTCCTGCAGTGTCTTGACACTGGCCATTGCCAGACACAAGGGGACCTGGCTGGGAGGGACTCTTGGCCTGAAATCCTGGCCTTGCTGAAGCCAATGAGAGTTTGGCCATTGACTTAATGGAGTCAGGATTTCACCCCTGGTCTTTTCCACTGGTCCATTCCTGTGTGATAGTCCTAAACGCACTCCAGGATACTTACACTTTCCAATCACCATGGCGAGGAGGATGACCCATAATACAAACGACACGGCGTTCACAGCGTTAAGGGGTAATACTGACCTTTCCTCCCCATTCAGGCCGCTACCGCCCTGCAGCAAGGAATTCCCTGGAAGGCAGGAGCAGAGACAGCGGGGGTTAGAGCATTGGTCCCTGCCCTCTGGCGAACCAGTGCTGCGGGGGCAGGTGTGCTCGAAGCCTCGCGGGGAAGGCACTAGGGGAATTCAGAATTCACTATTATTGTAATTCATAAATAGAGATGGACGTGCCACTGGGGTCAGGAATCTCTGTGTAGCACAGAGCATGCAGGGGAATTCACACCCTCTATCTATCTATCCCTATAGAATCCTAGAATATGAGGGTTGAAAGAGACATCAGGAGGTCATCTAGTCCAACCCCCTGCTCAAAGCAGGACCAATCCCCAACTAAATCATCCCAGCCAGGGCTTTGTCAAGCTGGGCCTTAAAAACTTCTAAGGATGGAGATTCCACCAAATCCCTAGGTAACCCATTCCAGTGCTTCACCACCCTCCTAGTGAAAGAGTTTTTCCTAATATCCAACCTAGACCTCCCCCACTGCAACTTGAGACCATTGCTCCTTATATCCACCCTATCTATCTATCATTTGCCCACCTGGATTTCCATTGAGCCTAAGCCCCAGAAGTAAGAGAACCCCATTTCCTGGGAGTCCCCTCTGTTTTCCCAAGGATCCTTTGGGGGAGCCAGGCCATGAGATCCATGTGAGATGCTGGGATGATTCCCTGGGGTTTCACCTCCCACCCTTTCTTCTCTCTGCTTTGACTGCCTTCCACCATCAGGATACAGCTCCGCGGCTGCAACCCCTGCCTACATCTCCCCCTCACCCCCTGTTCAGTCCGTGCTCCCCTCCTGATGGTTGCTTGTACCACCTCCCTATGGCCAGCCCTGGCCTCCCCCCCAGTGCCCTATGCTCTCCCATACACTGTCCTCTAAGATTCCTCCCCATCTTGCTGCAGACTCATGCGCCATGAAGCCTGCCAGGCAGAAAGGCTGCCCCCCGCTCTGTGCTGCTCTGTCCCATCCACTGTAGCCTCCTCCAGGCAGGGACAAGCCCTTGGTTCAGAGCGTTGCTCCATGCACAGTACCATGTACTCACCAGCCAACCCCCCCTTCCTCCACTGCCCCAGCCCACTGTGCTGCTGTCAGTGGGGAGGGGAAGGAAGCAGCTGTGTCTCCAACGCCTACATCTCAAATCAGCGCCCCCTCCCACACACACACACATATCCCCCTTCACTTTCCAGGAATGAAAGTAAAAAAAGAGGAAGAAAAGAAGCACAAATCTGCTGTAAGCACAGAATTGCACGAGGCATGTTCCTATTGCACAACGCAGGGACATCCCGCCTGATCAGCAGAACTCTGGCTCTGAAATGCCTCTCGTAACACGTCCACCCCTGGGCCTGGGACAGGGATCAGGGCCAAGGCTCCTGATGGTATAACCTGCAATTGTGTACGACGGGCTCCAGCGCCCAGCAACTCGTACATTGTGGACACTAGTCCTGAGTGCAATATGGATGCAAAATGGATCTATTTGTCCATTTATCCATTCAATCCCATAAATGCTAGCCATCCCTATATAACCCCATCCAGCCATCCCCATACTCCTCCATCCGTCCATCCATCCATCCATCCCCATACACCTCCCTCCATTCATCTCCATATACCCCCCATCCACCCATCACCATAAACCCCCCTCCATCCATCCATCCCCATACACCCCCCTCCATCCATCTCCATATACCCCCCCATCCATCTATCCATCCCCATACACGCACATCCATCCCTATCTATCTCACAATCTCCATACACACCAGTTCATCCACATCTATCTACCTATCTATCTATCATCATACAGCACCCCTCCATCCCCATCCACTCTCTCTCTCTCTTGCTCCCCCGCTTTTAAACCCCTCATTGCCAGAGTATGCAAGCACCAAACATAAACATCTGATGAAATGCTGCTGAGACAAGCCTGGAATTCTCAGCCTGGCTCTGCCCAGCACCTCCTGCTGTGATGTATGAAACGCCACCCTCCCAGAGTACAGACCTGCCTTCGAGTCTGACTTCGCTGCTGAGCACTATGCCGCTCTATAAGTAGGGCCCAATCCTGCAAACCTCGCTGACACCGCCCTCCTCTTGGCTTCACTGGGGTGTGGAGTCTGCAGGATCAGGGTCTGTTATCAAGGAGTGAGCTGATTAGCAGGAAATGATTGCGCACTCTCCCACTAATGCAGCCTGGGGTTACCTGCTCTCCCAAAAGCCATTTCTGTCTCCTGTTCCTTGAGCGTCCCTTGGTCGGACTCTTCGCACTTTTGGTAAATGCTGCCTGAAGGCATCACTCTGAGCCTCTTCCTACCCCAATGGCTCAAACGGCTTTTATACCAGCTGAGGTTCTGAGCATCTTTCCTGGAAAAGGAAACACATGTACCCAGCCACTCTTCCTCTCTTCAGAACACAGAGATCTGTGACCCTGTCACTTCTCCTCTAGCAGCTGGGAGCCTTCATCCAATCAGGATTCCTGGTGCAGTTGACAAACAATAGCCACCCACCCAGTGACCCAAGGAGCACAGACAATCTTTAAGTGGGAGGATCTTTTCAGAGCTGGGCATGTCCTTACCCTGGGCCCGGCAAGAGGGGTTCTCGCGTGTGCAGTCTGTGAACATTGCTGTTCAGGGAAACAGAATGGTGAACATCTTGCAAATAAACAAATGGCACTAAGAAAACACCTGACTCCATGTCACCGATTTCTGCTCCAAACAGGAAGCCAATCTACAAGGGCCTGAAAAGCCACTTGTCAAAGGGCACCACCATCTTTCTCTCTTTTCAGGGTCTTTGTGCCATTGATGGCACTTGGCATCTTGTCAGTTTCACTGGTTTCCAGCCCTGCATAGGCTGTGAGTCGGGTTCCCCTGTTGTTTGCATTGATCTCTCTCACAGCACCAGGGAGGGGAAAACAAGGAAAATGTAACGGTAAAAGTACAAAACTTGGCAGGAGTACCCAGGGGAGGAGTAGGGGCTGAAACCACTCGTGTAACTAAAATCACTAGGGGGAATATTTTCAAAAGCACCTAAGGGGATGTCTACACTGCAGCAAAAGCCATGCGGCATGGCTGCGGCTGACCCAGGTCAGCTGACTCAGGCTTGTGGGATGCAGCCTGCAGGGGCTAAAAATTGCAGTGTAGACATTTGGGCTCGGGTGGGAGCCCAGGCTTTGAGACCCTGCCCCTCACCATGTTTCAGAGCCGGGGCTCCAGCCCAAGCCCAAACGTCTATACTGCGATTTTTAGCCCCACAGCACAAGTCCCAGAAGCCCGAGTCGATTGACCCCAGTTCTGTGGCTCAGTGCAGTGGATTTTTTATCGCAGTGTAGACGTACCCTAAGTAATTTAGGAGCATAAATCCCAGTTTCAAAAGGCACTTGGGGCCAGATTTTCAAAGGTATCTGGCCCCTAGAGATGCAAAATCACCTCTCCAGCCCACAGACTGTAACAGTGATGTTGGTGTCTCAGGGAGTTCTGTTCTGAGTAGAGTTCTAAGAAAGGGGATGATATCTTGGGTTCTGGTACCTGACCAGGACTCCTAGATGCTACTGTAATACAAATAAATCATAATCGTCTGTTCCTCAAGAAATGGCTCTCATCTCCAGCTGGCTGACTCCAACGCCAAGATAGCTCAGGACAGAGACACTGCCAGTGACAGAGCTGCAGAATACCTCTGAAAACTGGGCTGAGAGGGGAACCCAGCGGAGGAAGAGGAAAAGGAAGATCTCACCTGGGCCAGCAGGTAAATGATTGGCCTGGCTCCGCCGCCTCTCTGTGGGCTGCTCTGCCTCAGTTTTTGTACCAATGTCACTAAGTTGTAGGGAGAGTGGTCACTTTGGATAAGCTATTACCAGCAGGAGATTGAGTTTGTGTGTGTGGTTTTTGGAGGGGGGTGAGGGGGTGAGAGAACCTGGATTTGTGCAGGAAATGGCCCACCTTGATTATCATACACATTGTGAAGAGAGTGGTCACTTTGGATGGGCTATTACCAGCAGGAGAGTGAGTTTGTGTGGGGGGTGGCGGAGGGTGAGAAAACCTGGATTTGTGCTGGAAATGGCCCAACTTAATGATCACTTTAGATAAGCTATTACCAGCAGGAGAGTGAGTTTGTGTGTGTATGGGGGTGGGGGGGTGAGAAAACCTTACCATCAGAATGGACTGAGATTTCAGTGTCTTGGGGTCTTTAACTATTCATCCTAAGGCAGTACAAATATAATGCTTAGGTCACTTATATACACTCTCCTAAACCCAGGAATACACTTACTGGAACGTAACATATCTTAATAAAAAGCCAGACCTTCATCCAGATGGCAGTGTGACTCCTTATCAGTGAGAAGGTGTTGTCCGTATCTCAGCTATGGTTCTAGCTCACATCTGCAACTGTCTCCTTCAAGAAGCAGATAGTCAATGCGCCAGATCCCCAGCTGGTGTAAACCAGCATCGCTCCATTGGAGTCAACGGGGCCAGATCCCCAGCTGGTGTAAACCAGCATCACTCCATTGGAGTCAACGGGGCCAGATCCCCAGCTGGTGTAAATGGGCAAAGCGCCATTGGAGTCAACACACCCATTCACACCCTCTGAGGATCTGGCCCTGTATGATGAACTTCCACACACTCGGGCGTAGGATCATGCCCAGAACTAGTGCAGGGACGAGATGGGGTGATTAACGAGAATGAGGAAGCTCTTCAGAAGTGTTCTATGTCTAACCTGGGGGAGTTAAACTCAGGCTCAGCACAGAGGCTGTTTGAGCCAAAACACTGAGCTGATGCAGGAGGCCAAGCCCAGACTGAAAGGGATAGTGAGGCTCCCAGCATAGGCTGAGCTACACGTCCCCCACACAACGTGGACCAAGCACTCTAACTGTTCCCGTGCCAGAGCAGTTCTTCCCCAGCAGCACTAGTGTTGTGGATGTTCGATGCAGTGGCTGGTTGTGTCGGGAGCACTGAGTGCACCCAGCTGATGAAAGGCTGGCATTTCGGGTGGGGCTTGTGGGGCACGGAAGCTGTGGTAATGACACAGTGTGACTGTGCTGGAGCCATGCCATGGGAACTGGCTGTGCTTTTTATTTCCTTCCTTTTGTGGGTTTCATTTTCAACGTGTTGTTCATGTTTAACTGCAGATCCCAGTGGGGGAGAAAACTGGGGGGAGAATTGCAGCTGCTGGCAGAGAATATTTTATCCAGCAGCTGCACGGAGCTCTTCTCTGCGGCACGAGACGCTCTGGCAGAACGGTAGCTCTGGCCAGAGAAGGAGTTATATGCCCCTGGTTCTCAAAATCAGGTTTGTGTGCACTCGCCTCCCTCCCCACCCCATCAATTAGGTTTTGTGCACCCAGGCCCCAATCAACCAATGCCGTTTGTGCACAGCTGGCCTCCATCCATCAGGTTTCTGTACACCAGGAAGAGCCAGTGAAAGTGAACAGAGAACGGCACAATCAAGAGTGATATTTACAATACGCCTGATCCTCTGACCCACTTCACTCCGTTTGTACGAACACTGACCTCATGTCCCCGGGGTAGGGAGTCCTCCATGGGTGTAGGGCCAACGTAGCTAGCTCCCGCAGCTTCCCCTCCAGCTGCAGCATAGCTGGCGGGGCAGGCGTTACCAGTTGGCAGCCCCCAGGCTGCACCAGACTCCATCAGGGCTGGTGTAGAACCAGCCAAGCCCTAAGAGGTTCCTGGGCACAGCCAAGACCTTGGGCCTAAGCTGGTTAGTTATGTTTCAAGTTGAAAGGCACCAATAATTTCAAATCCTGGACAAACATTGTGGTTGGCACCCGAGCAAGTGAGGGTGGGAAAAGTGATGAAATTCAACATATAAACTGTTCATTAGAAAATACTTGCTTGGGGCTCACAAGAATCGAAGCCGTCTGTAAGCAGCTGTGATGCATGGGAAGCACAAATGAGCTTTTACGCTTTGAAACTGCACGTCATCTGGTCTATACTAGAAAATTAAATCGACCCAGCAACTTCACTCAGGGGTTGGAAAAATCCACATCCCTGAGCGACGCAGTTAAGCCAAGCTAAGTGTCCGTGTCAACAGCGTAAGGTTGATGGAAGAATTCTGCCTTCCACCTAACTGTCACCTCTCAGGGAGGTGGACTACCTACCTGGACAGTCGTCTTATTTCAGCACCAATTGTATACAACTCTCACCTGGTGTGCCAGATCTCCCATGAGAGTGTAAATTGCAGCATAAGGCCTGTCTGATTCCCTGTTGCCCTGTGAGGGCACCTAGTACACTGCAGGGGTGAGGGAAGATAATAAATAATAAAGGGCCCATCCCCTTAGTGGGATCAGTTACTGACTTCACTGAGGTGAACTCAGCCCAAAGACTCTGTATCCAGACATCAGAGATAAGGAGAAGATAAGGAAGATGCTGTGGGCGAGTTTGTGTCAGTTTTGCTTTGGGTCTTGTTTCTGGTTAAGAAGGAAGCTGCAAGGTCAGAATCCCAGAGTTTGCCTTCTGAGCAGCCATGGCACGCCAAGGCTTCGCGTTTCCTCCAAGTAAGTAGAACCGAGTTAGTGATGACAGAGCCGTGATGTATGGGAGAGTGTGGCAGGCAAGCCGCTTTCTTCTGAATAGCTGGGAGTAGCCAGCTGGCAACTTATTGGAGATGCCAGGGACAGGAAGTTACAAGGGTTCTGTCCTCAGGTACTTCGGAGGTTCCCTGGCCTATCAGGGTACAATTACACAGCTGTAGTAGTAAAATTTTATGTTTGTATTTTGCATAATTTAAAATAAAAAATAAAGAATAATAATGTAGCCTGCATTAAATGTATTGGTGTATAATTTGACCATATCCTGCCAGCCCACATTTCTGAAAGCAGAAAGGAATGGCCTAATGGGCCATTGGTAAAGATGCATCAGCCAAAATCTGGGTCTGAAGCTGATTTCAAGGCAGTGACAGACCTCTAGGGTCACCACTTTGTTGTAGGTTTAGCATTTTAAAATAAGTAAAAGAATGCAATAATTGTTTTCTCCTGCATTGCAATTTGATGTTTCTGTTCAAATACTCTGTGTAAATCAATCTTGTTTTGTGTGTAAATGAGGAAAGTGTCTGTTAAAAAATAAGTGTAAAGACCAAATGTTCGAGGAAAGAACCAAGAACAAACGTAAGGGCGCCAGGAGATTGCAACACGCCCCTATTAAAATGTCAGAGGAGGGAAAATTAATGACTCTAAAAATAAAACAGGCACCTATCAATAAAGACAAAATAGCTGTGATCAAAACCAGCATAAAATAACTCCCTAAGAAATAATAAAAAACAATAAAAAATTAAAAAACCAAGCACCCATCAAACAACACTTAATTACAGCATAACAGTGCAAAATTCATTGGTCCCAATGAAAAAAAAAAGTCATCTATGTACAGCTGTATAAAAATTATTACAGCAATATTAAAAATGTTTTTTAAAAGTATGTATATATACACGTGTGTGTGTAAATGTGTGTGGGTGTAAATATATTGTGTAAATATGTAAGGTTTTC